TTCCCTGTTATTCAGTTTTGCTGCCAACCTCACTGATGGTCCTCAGCTGAACACGCCCAGGGAGGATGCCAGGACTATAAAATTACAGCAGTGCAGCCACTGGGAGTAATCCACAAATCCAAATTAATGCATTTGATGACAAGGGAGGCTCAACCCGGATTTCTCCCTTTGAATTTCTCAAGAGGAAGAAAAGAACCAACAGGTTTGGTAACAAAACAACAAAAAACCGGGAGAGGAGGAAGCAATAACTTAAGCAGATCATGACACAAGTATCCAGTGTTCAGGAAGGTTGGGATGGATCTCAGGGAAAGGTTCTTCCCCCAGAGGGTGGTGGGCACTGCCCAGGCTCCCCAGGGCAGTGGGCACGGCCCCAAGGCTGCCAGAGCTCCAGGAGCGTTTGGACAACGCTCTGAGGGACAGGGGGGGATTGTTGGGGTGTCCTGGGCAGGAGTTGGGCTGATGATCCTTGTGGGTCCCTCCCAGCTCAGGATATCCCAAGATTCTGTGATTCCAATTAAAGCAAGGAAGTTTCATCTCTGAACCCCACTCTACCAGTTGACTCGTGCTATGGACTTGGACAAGTTCACCTTTCCCAGGAAGGCAACCAAGAGGTTTTTGCAAACCCCAGCTCAAACCCATCCCTTTTCCCAACCTCAGCACAGCCCATTCCATGCATAGAACCTCAGATGCCTCCTCTCAGCCCTCTGGCATTAAGGCATCTGCCTGGACTGACTATAATCCCAACCAGCCCATGGAACACTCCCTGTGCTTTCCTGCTGGGGCACATTTTAGGTTGTGTCCTGCACATCCCAGTCAGGATCTGCCTGTCCCAGCCCAGAGGTAAATGCCACATGCCAAACATCGCTTTTAAGCTGCCTGTGGAACAGGAATCCCCCTGGAACTACAGGGATCTCAGAATCCCTCCCTGCCCAGGACACTGGGATGACACTTTAACCTTTATTTTAGCCCCCCCACACACAGAGCCCAGAGGAGGGAGGGGAAGGTGAAGCTGCCACAGCTCCCACTGACAGCCAGGCCATGTTCTGGGCAGGAACTGCGAGCTCTGGAGCAGGAACTGGGAGTTACTCCACCAGCAGATCTCTCAGTGCCATTCAGATTCCCACACTGGCCGTGCTCCAGCGGCGCAGATACCGAGCATTGCTGGGGAGTGACTAATTCCAACCTACACCAATGTGGAGTTTCCAATTATGTCCTTCATCCAACAGGGCTCTGCCAATGTTGCTGTTACACATTTCCTACCAAAATAACTCTGCAGAGCCTGCAGCCAGTTTGAAAGGAAACTTCAGTGTCTAAGAATAACCAGTGACACCGGTTCACAACACACCCCTGCTGGCCCGGCCTCCCAAAACATCCCTCTCACCTTTTCGTGTCATAGTCAATTAAAACGTAGTTTTCCATGGCAAGCTTGAGATCTGGGATTTCTTCACAGACCCACCTGGAAGGAGAGAAGAAACAATTAATAGAAGCATTGCCAATCAAGGGTAATGATATTGTCTCAGGTCTAGGCTGGTGATGCTGTACATGGAATGAGGATCCTGCACAGCCCTGGAAGCTCAGAGTGCCCTCAGGAGTAAGGCAGACATCCCAAAATACTCATGGAAAGCTGCAACAGCTCGCATTTGTACTGAACAAACAGCAAGATGCCTGCAGACATTGGCAGCTCTTGAAACAGCTTCAAAATAAGCTAATAAAATGTGTTCAAGGTGCCTAAAAATAGTCCGAGCCGTGGCTGATGTCAACCCGACATCAAACTCGGTGCAGGAGGGCAGCACTTCCAAAGAATGCTGATCCTGTGTTTGACAGAGCTGCATGTGGAGAAGAGATTTCCCACAGCACCTCAAAACACTGTCACCAGCCCCTCCCTGCAGGGCTGTTCCCCCCTGGGCCGTGTCTGAGCTGCTCCCACACCTCACAGGGCCCAGCCCAAGCGGATTTTCCGAAGTTCCCTTGACAAAAGGCCCCTCTGACAGGCTGAGCTGACTGTTGTGGCCACCAAATATATCAAAATGGGGAAAGCACTGCCCTCATCACAACACCTCCATTCCCAGGATGAGCTCCTACAGGAATGACAGTTCCTTTAAAATCATATTATTCCCTAGTAAAATCATTAAAAAAAAAACTACTCTGGGCTCTACCTCTGCAAAGTTTTTCTCTTAAATTACAGGAATTACAGGCAGCAGCTTGATCCTCGTGTGTCACTCCCAGCTCAGGATATCCCATGTTTCCAGGGTTCCACTGCCTCCAGCAGATAAAGGCTGCTTTGCACTGTCACCCCCCCTCCTCCACAACCACCCTGTGGGTACTTTGCCCGAGGCAGCAGGAAAGTTTCTGACGCTTATCTTGCCCAAAACACAGTTGGGAAACATCACTTTGGCCCTAAAACCGCTTCCTGACACAGTTCTGGCCTTGCCCTCACCAACTGCAGCCACCACCTTCTGCACCACGTCCTTCTAAGGCCCTCAGAAGGGTCAGGTCAACAACCCCAAGACCCCAAGATTTTAACCCCCCTGGTCCTGAGGCACTTCTTGTGGCAGGCTCTGGATCAGAAAACTTCCCATCTCCAGCCCCATCCCACATCCTCTCTCCCCCAGAGCTTGGGAAATGCTCTGATTTCGTGGGTGTGATGTTATCTAGCACTTGGCTCTCCACCTTCTCCCAGCCCACAGGGCAGCAGATCCCAAGCTCAGGGGGTCTCTGCAGGTAAAACCCCTCAGACCTCACCTGTCCCTGCCCCACTAAAGGGTATCAAACCACCCCCTCCTGCTGCAGATCCAGCCCTGAGCCACGGGAAGGATCCAACACCCGCAACAGGAACAGCCTGACTGTGGACAACATCCCCCATCCCTCAGGTGTTTTTTTGGGGTGTTTCTGTTCCCATTTCATAGAAGTTGTTCCATATCAAGTCCCCTTCTGATGCTGTACAAGAACAGCAGGTCAGGCTGTGAGCATGGCCTGTGTTGGGAAATCCTCTGGATCCTGTTCCTCACACTTGTCTGTCACCTTTATCCTCCCATCTTCCCCCCTCCAGCAGCAGAATTCCAAGGAATGCTACAGGGAGATCACTGCCAAACAACCCAAAGCAACAGGGGGAAGGGAGAGGGTGGGGAGAGGCAGGACCAGGGCTCAGCACACCCAGTCAGGGCTGTTTTCTTAACCTTGTCCATCCACAGCTCAAACTGCTTTAATCAGCCTTCAAGCTGAACATCACCACTCACTCCTAACTCTGTTCAGAACAGAGTGGAATATGGGCAGGTGAAACAAAATCTGCTTGCCAGGGAGCAACAAATTCAGCCTAGAAAAGAACTTTGCAGGGTCAGTGCTGGCCTGCTCTGTTTCCTGGCCCCAGACAGCCCTTCTGAGGCTCAGGAAGGGGCCCAACACTCACCGAATGGTCTCAATAATTTCATGAGCAGCATCGTGGTGTTTGTCCTGAAACAAAAGGAAAAAGAGCCATCAGGAGCTGTTTTGGCAGGGGTTTACAAGAATCATATTTTAAAGAACAATTATACACGGTATTTTAAAGAATAAATGACACACAATATTTTTAAGAACACCAAGCACACTGGGTAAGGAGCCCTTGGTTGCCACCCAGGCCATTAAAATGAGCCCTTTTAAGGAAAAAAAAAAAAAAATCTTAAGGAAATGTATTTTTCATGTTTCTATGGAGCAGCAAAAGACTGACAGGAAGGAACTGTCACTCCGCTTATTCCTCTGTCATTCCCTGCCATCAGGAGCTGTGGAGCTGCAGTCCTTGGGGGATTATTGGGATGCAGCAGGTACTGGAGTGCAAGCTGATTCCATCCAGCATCTGGCACAGGCTCCCAGCTCCAGATGGGCAGGCAGAGTCCAGCCCAGGGAACGGCTCTCTAAAATCAGGCAGCAAATAAACAGTGGGAGAGGATTCAGTACAGGAGAAACACCCTCCCAGCACACACACACACACACACAAAGAGAGGTGGATGTGGGGCCTTCTTCATCAGCTGAAAACCAAACCACACCAGATCTTGTGTGAGACACCGGGGGGGGG